TATTCAGAGCTGTCAGAGGGAGTTTGGCTACAGAAGCGCAGAGGCAGCACGGGTGCTGCTGGTTTTGATTCTTTGCACTGTTTAATCATTTGTGTTTTTACAAATGCAAAATGTACCATACTGGTGGTAGGAACATTTACAGAAGCACAGAGGCAGCACGGGCGCTGCTGGTTTTGATTCTTTGCGCTGTTTAATCATTTGTGTTTTTGCAAATGTGAAATGTACCATACTGGTGGTAGGAACATTTCTCATCCCCTTTGCACAAACAGAAAACAGCAGATAATGAAGACTTTGTACCTGCTGACTTTGGATTGTAAGCTCATAAATGGCTAAGAAGATCATCTGGGCTGCTGCAGAATACAAGCTAGAGGTTTCATCCAATGAGTCTGGCACCACACTGAATAATGCAGGAATTATTTTAAAAAGGGAAATAATCTTGATTTCAAGGTCCTAAATCTCATTTCTATGGATCTTTTTCTCACTAGCAATATTTAAAAAAATGGACTCACAATGAATGAGAAATGATTCCCAAAGTCCACATTTCTAGGGACAACCTCCCACCTTTCCAGAGGATTATTTACCATCATGATGAAAAAGGTTCACTGAATAGTTACTTTAAATGTGTTCGAGTTCATCTTCCACACACTGATGGATCTTGCTTGCGCCTTTTTATCTTAAACCTTTTTCATGTTGCAGATAATTGTAAACTATGATTGAATTTCTTCTCCAGGAGCCTTGCTCATGCTAGGAGAAGTGTGTGACCTGAGCGGGCTCTTTTATTCTGAGCATTATGATATCCTCCAAAGAGCTTCACATCAGCTTTTGTCTCAACTTCCACCACGCCAAGCATGATTGATTTGCCGGCTTTCTACTTTGCTCAGTTATTTGTTATCTTTATTTGGGCACCATTGTGTTCAAATCAATGAAGTCATCTGCTCAGCGCTCCACGGCTATAAAAAATAAAGTCAGAGATGGCAGAGGGTTATTTTGAGATCAGACACATTTATGCTTGTTTGGCTGTTGGCCAGGGAGGTCATAAACATAAAATGGGACGGTATAGTCTTCCCTTGAAAAGCACACTCTGGCTCTTGCTCCATAAAAACACAGCAGAAATAGCAAAAGTCTAGACTTGAAGCAAAAGAAATGTTGCAGCATTTCTGTAGCAAATGTCTACAAAGCTGATCATAATCAAGCACCAACAGCTTTCCAGAGCTGTGTCTGTCGAGCTTCCCTGGAATTATGCTTAAATTACAACAAGAGAGGAGAAGAAGGCCAGGTAATTGGAAGAGAGACTGCTGTGATAACAAACAGCCTGAGTCGAGGGTAACTGCAGGATGAGTCCTCTTTTAGTTATGACATTTTGTAAAATATACCATACCTTTTGTTACCTGGCAATAAAAACAAAGGCAATAAAAACTTCAGTCTGGAGAAGAGAGGGTTCAAGGGGTTCTTGTCAATGGATACAAGTACCTGCTGAGAGGTTGTGAAGAGAATGTGATGGCCAGTGACAAGACTCTTTACGGTGATGGCCAGTGGCATGATGAGAGGCAACGGGCTCAATCTCAAACACAGGCAGATCTGTTGATCATGAAGAAAAACTTCTGTGATGGTGACTGAACACTGGAAGAGGCTGCCCAGGCTGGTTGTGGAGTTTCCATCCTTGTAGATGTCCAAAAGACATCTGGACACAATCCTGGGCAATGCGCTCTAGGTAACCCTGTTTGAGCTAGAGAGTTGGACTTAGAGATCTTCAGAGGTTCCTGACAACCTCAACCATTCGGTTACTCTGTGATAATAAAAGTTACAAAGTCAATAAGACCAACCAGCTGTGCTTAAAGCAGATGACACTCATGAAATGTCCCAGAACCGCCATCCCTTATCAAGCCTTGGGGGTTCCTGGGAAAACCTGGGCCTCTTTTCTCTCCTTGCACTCTGCTAGTTGCACAGTAATATTTACTGGCTTTCCAGAGGTGAGGGTTGGTGAAGTGGTTCAGTAATTCTTTTTGCCAGAAAAGTGAAGCCTTTCCCTATAGAAGGACTTTGTCTGCCCTAAACCGACTGGCACATTCTTTGGCTCAAGGAATTGCGCTTCCTGCTGGATTTGACTTTACCTTGGAAAAGTTAATGTCTGAAGATAGGGGAACAGAATGTGTTTTTGCTGCCAATATATTCAGAGCTCTGCTGCCAAGAGTGGAAGGTTGCAGGAGCGATCAGCAAAGAGCCTGTGTAATTGTCTGTGAACGTGGGGTCAGATGAGACAGACGTGGTTTCAGAAGGGGCTTGTTGCTTTCGTGCAGGGTAACCACCTCACCTCCTTCAGCCCAGGCTGACATAAAGGCTCCTTGATGCGAGTAGAGCCAGGTGTACATATAGCCGGAGTATCATAAATATCCTCCTTGGGGATGCATCGTCACAAAGGTTACAGAGACGCCTTGTCAGGACGCCGGCGGCTTGAGAACAGGTACAGCCAAGAACAGCACATGTTCAGTCCTGGATGCAGACAGGACCGTGCTTTCATTTTGCTCCTTCTCCCTCATTCCCTGTCTTTCAGGGCTGTGCAGAGGCAGGTCCGATCTGAAGGGTGCTGTCCTCCCTGGGAATCCCTTCTCCTTGCTCTTGCGGGGCTTGGGGCCTTGTGAGGTGGTAGACCCCTGGGCTACTTAGACCAATGCTCAGCCTCACCACTGCAGTCTGGAGAGAAGAACCTGAGAGCACTGGTTAACTGGAAATAAACTTCCCTCTGGTTACCCCTCCTTTCCCCTCCTGCTTTCAGACTCTGCAGGCTCAGCAAAGGAAGCAATGGAAACTGTTGGATTCAAATTTTGGATGGTTTAGACCATCCAGGGCATGACCATGCTTTGCCCTCTGGCGTGATTTCATGACTCTGCAGGCTTTTATACTCACATGCCAACCCCCTGTGGCCTGCTATTCTGCGGTTCTCCAGCAAGGAGATGTCTCCAGCTGAGATGCTGGGTTGTGTCCGTGACTGCGGTGCAACGGAGAGAGGTCTCAGCAGAAGTGGTGAGAGACCCCAGAGAAGGAACCAGCTAGTTAGTCTCTATGGGTGGGATTTATCTTCATTAATTGCAGCTGTCCAAATGAGGGACATCTAGTCAAGAGCAGCTGTTCAGAGTCCCTCTAATAGAGCTCAATAGAAAGAGCTCAGGACCTCCAGAGAGAGGTTCATTCTGAACTAAGATTGATGCGTAGGAAAGACAGCCTGAATTGCCTTCTGAAGGCAAATTTTGGAGGTCTGCTATAAGATAAGTTCAGACAAAATGCCAGCTTTTAATAGCTAAAACTGCCTGAGATAACACCTGGGCCCTCTAAATCCAGCCTCCATTTGTGGATGCCAAAGCGGATTACTATTCCTATTGATAGTAGAGAAGATCTGATTGGGGCAAGGGGCAAGACATGACAACCTGTTTGCATTTGAAGAACATGATATTACTTCAAACAGTTTGCATTCTTGTTGCTTTTTCCTCTAACTGGAGGTTTCCCGCCCCGAATAGCCTAGATGGAAAACTCAAAACACATGGTAATGTGCCATGAGAAAAATGTTTCCTTGGCATTTGTTGACTTCTTTAGCTCTAGACATCCAAAGAACCACCAGGGATTTCACTAGTACTACTCAAATACCGGAGTGTAAAATCTCTTGGTAACAACTTCTTGCATATACATGTAAATGACACAAAACCAAGAACTGTCCATGCTGTTTGATAGCTAGCATGTGCCGCAGCATAGCTTTGACCCGTGCTAACTTGTCTCCTAGAAAAGCCCCACTATTTGCACTTGGTTCTTGTCCCATGTGTACTTCCAGACCATGTCTGGGAGATGTCTGGTTCTGGCTCAGGCCGAGTTTTCCCAAGCATCTCCAGACGTGGTTTGGAAGTTCATATGAACAAGAACAACTTCCTATGTACGGTCAGATGCAGCTAGTATGTTCTGGGGGTGAAAATATTGTACTAGAGAGGACACATCATGCCACCTGGACACAGCATTGGGCACACAGTAGCAAAGACTGCCCAAGCACATTTCATTTACTAGGACAGCCATGGCCTAGTAAACCTCCTGGTCCTGGATGAGTAGAACGCTTAGGCCAGGGGTTTCCAAACTGTGAACTACTGTTGGTGTGCGAAACACTTCCAAGTCAGGGGAAAATCAAATAATAAATGTCATTTTTGCTTTCTAAGCACATGGGTTCATGCCCAGTGCAGTGCATTTATTGGGTCTTCAGTTCAGAGCCTGTAGATGATGTCTTTGGCTAATTGGGTGCATCAATACAGTGCAGGAACATCCAAAACAGCAGCAGTGTAGTGACAGTAAGCCTGGAAATAACTTTCCACTCTTGCTTTCTCAGCCTCTTCATGGATATCCTTCACACTCGAGCAGCTTTATGAGTTAAATATTCACACCTCATTGATTGCCTCCTGGATGTTTATAGGACCTGGGCAAAGCTGCTGCAATGGAGGGAAGGATAAGACAGGAAAAGAACAGCAGCAGATGTCTCAGTGAGGATTCATGTGCAGACTTGGAGCAGGAAAATTGTCTGCCTCTTCCTTAGCCAGGAAAATGGTTGTTCAGAATGACATCATGGGATGCCCTGTTAATTTTGTCTCTCTGCATGCTTCCAGATCAGATTTCACTCTGCAGATTTCACTTGCCATGAAGCATGAAGCACTTAGAGTGAGATTGGATTGTTTCTCTCCTTCCCCTTGCCATGCTACCTGTGTCTCATGGGAAAATCCCTAGAAAGAGCCTTGCGTTGCTTCTGCTCCCTTTTCATGCCATCAGTTACGGTGGGATTATAATGTCTCTAATACCATAACCGTGCACTGAAAATAAGAACTTGCAGCCAAGAAAGGCTGCTGTCATCCAGCTCTCTTTCGGTAGCCCTGGGTGTATTGGTCTCTATCAGCACAGCTTGCCTGACCATGTGAAAATTCTCCAGTGAGTTTTGTCTCACTGAACTCTAGACGTTCATAAAGTGGACATCTGCCTCAGTGCTGGTCAGCCTGCAGCCCATCTGTGGTCTACAGTGGGACTGGTTTCATCCTAAAGAAGAGGTGTAATGGGTTGGACATCACTCATCATCAGAGTCCACCTTTTCGCATGGGCTATAAAAGGAAGTTGGGTGTCCTGCTGCAATGTGGATGCTTGAAGTGATATGAGGTGAAGACTATTTATTCAGCCTCCTCCCACCATAAGCTGACTCTGTTTACTCAAAACATGCTAGAAATGACAAATTTTCTAAGCTATATGTCCCTTCATAAGATTCTCTTTTCCATGAACTCTCTTGGAGTAAGTCTTTGGGAATTCAGTGGCCATTCCTAGAGGAGAACAGCTTTCCTCTTTCTAACCTCTTCAGCTCCAGAGGAATCCCCAAAATGGGAGCCAGGGTAAGGTGAACTCCAGCATTATGACAATTTGCTTTTCTAGCCTGAGGAGGAGTAGAAAGAGCAGACAAACATTTAAAGACTCTATAACCATTTGGAAACTTCTCTTTCATACAAATGTACTGCGAGGTCTCAGTTGATAACTAAGATTCCCAACTGGCTGACACTGATGACTTCCTACCACTCTTGCAAGTAAAGTACTTCCCAGTCCTTGTGCTGGAGTTGACCATTAGCATGGCCATTGACCGAACCAGTTCACCCCACTAAGTTGGTGGACAATCTCTCCTTCTCATTTTTTTCCTTTAATTTGATGTCCTGTCAGTGACTGACTGTTTGTTTGAATGATTGCTGGATCAACATAAGGAACTGACAAGACAAGAGGATAGCGGGGAGAGAAATACTATGCCTTTTAGCTTTGAGGAGGTAGATTTTGTCAAGCTGTAGTGTGAAATCACATCCTTTGCAACTTAGCCTTGGCTGGAAAGGCTTATTGTCTGGAAGTGTTTATTATTTGGCTCTTGAGTTGCCTCTAGTTGTCTTCCCCATGCGGGCTGATGAACATAGTTTCCACTTATCAAGCAGCTCTTGATAGCTGCAGCTTGTAGAATAGTTTTTCAACCTTGTCAACTACTGTCTTTTGCCAAGGCTCAGCCAATGCACAATATGTTAACAATTTTCCTGAAGTGACTTAACTACATGATGCAACTGGCTATTACCTAGGGATTTTTACGCAGAATCACAGAATGGTTAAGGTTAGAAGGAACATCTAGAGATCATCTAGTCCAACGCTCCTGCACAAGCAGCGACACCCAGAGCACGTGGCACAGGGCGGCATCCAGGTGGGTTTTGAAGATCTCCAGAGAAGGAAACTCCACAACCTCTCTGGGCAGCCTGTTCCAGTGCTCTGACACCCTCACAAAGGGTATTGAAAGCTTTAGTCTGAAAGTGTTTTTGGGGAAAAAGTATATTCGGGGAAAAAGAGCAAGCTTTAGCTTTGAAATGGCTGAGCCTCCCCATGGAACGGAGGTGCTGATCCATGGTTCTATTTATTTGGAAGTTTGGTGCCAAACAGCAGAGCTGTTGAAATGATGCAAAAGCAGAATTATGAATACATATACTCTAGATGCACTGACTCACATTTATTTTACGGTGGTTTGCTCTTTGTGGCTTGCAAATATTTGCAAGACTGCTGCTACTTCTGGAAATATTTCTCAGCCCTGAAAATATTGTCGTTTAGTCACAAAATCTATGTCTCCATTTATAAAATCTCTTCATTTGCATGGAACTGCCTATGGACACTTCTCCACTTGTCATCAGTGGGTTATTAGGA